AGGCTTGCTCGGGGGAGAGCCACGTCCAAACGAGTTTTCCGGATATGCCAGCCGTTCCATCGGTTGATACGGCAATCAACCTAGCTGATCTCACACGTTAGGCCAGCAAGGCCCTAGCGCCTTTGCCGCGCACTTCTTTGTCGCGACTCACACCCCCTCTGCTTGGAGACCCCACTTTTGCACCCTATAAAGGACTTCCTAATGTTCCCTAATCCTGACTCGTGGCTTTAAGGGCACGAACACCACTGTTCAGCGTAAGAGCGCTCAAAAATCGCGCAAACGGATATGATATTCGGGATCTCTGTCATTCTACCCTCGGAGATATAGTTCGAGAAAAATAGCCCAGTTTTCGAAAAAGGAGGCAGCAAGGGCTAAACTGAATTTTGTGCCAAACTGCTTAGTTGGCCTGGAGCGGCAGAGCGCCATTGGTGATTCAGTAATTATTGCTTCCATTATTCCATTCTGTTTTATTTCGTTCGGTTCATCGAGCTATTCTTGAGCAAATATTGGAATGCGCAGTAAGTAGTGGGAGACATGAACTTTCCCCAAGTTCTCTCCTGCACACGACTAGACGAGCCCGAATGTGGCTCTTGATGACTCAGCTTCGAACAGTGTCGGAAGGGAGGGTCAAGGACTTGTGCTTAAGCCCAGCAGAGGTGCGCAGGGTGGGTAACCAAAACCTGTAGCAGGACTCGAAGTGTTGAGGCAACAATAATCATGGGACGTAATTCAGACGAGCACAGCGGTTGCAGCACATGCATCGTACGCTAGCTTCCCACGAAGCGCAACACTTCCTTGATGTCAACCTCAGCTCGCTTGGGAGAAGAAAGGACTTGCAGCAAGACCCAAAGGAGGAGTCGGGTTTTGCTGCAAGTCCTTTTTCCCATTCACGGTCATGGCAATTAATGGGAGTTCTAAAGTGACACAAAATCTTGGCAATCCCAAAACCATCTCAAAGATGAGAAGGCCTTCAATAGTTACAGAATGAAATCTGAGAGAAAAAAAACTACTCATTCAAAAAATTTTTCCCTCCGCA